CCTCATTCAATATTTTATTTTTTTTATACTTTCCTTTTCTCCACTAACATACCACCACTCCATCAATTTCCCCCACTTTCCCTTTTCTTCCCTAACACACTTCTCAATCAATTATACCCTTTCCACATTACCTCCCCCAACTTCTCCCCTAACACACCACTTCTCCCTCGATTCCCCTACAACACAACCTCTCCCTAACTTGCCCCTTTTTTCCACTACCAGACTTCTCTCTCAATTTCCCCCAAAACACCACTTATTCCCCACTTTCCTCCCCCTACTACACCACTTCTCCTTCAATTTCCCCTTCAACACCACATATCCCCACTTTCCCTTTTCTCTCCTACTACATCACTTCTCCAACATTTCCCCTTTTTTCCCTACTTCACCACTTTTCCCTCAATTTTCCTTTCTCCAATATTACACCACTTCTATATTTCCCCAAAAACACCACCTCTTCCCACTTTTTCTTTTCTCCCCTAACACACCACTTCTCCCTCAATTTCCCCTACTACACCACTCTTTCCTTTCTTTCCCCTTTTCTCTCCTACCTCACACCACTTTTCCCTCAATTTTCCCTTTTCTCCCAACCACACCACTTTTCCCTCAATTTCCCCTTTTCTCCCTACCACACCATTTTTCACTCAATTTTCCCTTTTCTCCCTACCACAACACGTCCCCTCAATCTCCCTTGCCACACCACTTTTCCTTAAATTTTCTCTTTTCTCCCCTACTATGCCACTTTTCCCTCAATTTTCACTTTTCTCCCCTACCACACCACTTTTCCCTCAATTTTCACTTTTCTCCCTACCACACCACTTTTCCCTCAATTTCCCTTTTCTCCCCTACCACAATACTTTTCCCTCAATTTTCACTTTTCTCCCCTACCACACTACTTTTCCCTCAATTTTCCCTTACAACACCACTTCTCTCTAACTTTCCCCTATTCATCCCTACCACAACACATCTCCCTCAATCTCCCTTGCCACACTACCTTTCACTAATCTTCCCATTTTCCCACAGCATCAATTTTTTTCTCTACCACACCAAATTTCTCCATTTTATTTTCTCCTGTTTGATTTACTCTCCACTTTTAAATTTATATTTTTGATTCATGTTTAAATCTCTGCTATTTTTAATAATTAATTTTTGAGATCTTATGAATACAGGTAACTATAATTTTCTTTTTAAAAACTTAAAAAACACAATTGATAATCTTGTTTGGTGATGACATATATAATTTTCCTGCACTTTAAATTTACATTTTGATAAAGTATCCATGCAGTCCTTTTTATGCCATTTTTCAGTACATTGACTTTTGACTTACATGTACAGGTAGTGTATGTCCTTGTTGAAATCCAATGCAATATTTTTGCCCTTATACCACAGTCCAAAACTAACAGAGATACACCCCAATTGACCTTGAATAGGAAATAATATATAATACGAATCCAAATGTACTAGTAAACTAGAATTTGACCTAGCTTGTCCTACTTTCCCTCAAGAAATGCACTTTCAAATTTTCTAGTCCTAATATTTCTTCAGAATTAGGAGAGATACATCCATATAACAATAGTTACTTTTGATGTTGAATAATAAATCATACATTGTAATCTTCATGTGACTTTGAGTTTTGACTTAATATGGTCATGGACATAATAAGAGATATATTATAAGAGATATATTATGTCCATGATATGGTTGAACTTGAATCGGAAATCATATATTTTAAATTTATTCCATTTTTATCTTAATAAAATTCTTTTTAGCTGCCCACCACAAGCTAGATATGTTATGTGAGTACATTCATATTATTTCTAATTTTGGCTGTATAGTATACTTATATTAAATTTTAGAATTATTTTATTATTTCTTTTAAAGACCATACACCCATTGTTTATTTACTAGTCATCTGTTTATTACACATTTTTTTACCTATCACTTCCCAAATTACTCTGCCAGGGCCATTTGCTTTATTTAAATTCCACCCACCTATTTTATTTGTCATTTGCAAATTGAGAAGTCTGCACATTTTACATATTTTCTGTCTAATATCATCAGTCTTCATCCCAAAAGCTGTGATGACAAATTTGATAACTTTGATGGTTAGCTGCGGGGGAGAGACTAATAGAATTCAGAGTCTGGTTTTGTGATTAGGCACGGTGCTGTACCAGAAATAATGAGTGTATACTGTGTATACAATATATATGTATAGCAATCCATTTTTGTCGGAAATGTTGAGTGTATACTATGTATACTATATATCTGTAGCAATTCATTTTTGTCGGAAATTTTGAGTGTATACTATGTATGCACAACATGTGTATAGAAATTTATTTTTGTCGGAAATGTTAAGCGTATACTATGTATGCACGACATATGTATAGAAATTTATTTTTGTCGGAAATGTAAAGTGTATACTATGTATACATGATATATGTATAGAAATTCATTTTTGTCGGAAATGTTGAGCGTATACTATGTATGCACGACATATGTATAGAAATTTATTTTTGTCGGAAATGTTGAATGTATACTATGTATATACAAAATATGTATAGCAATTTTTTTTTAACCTTTACTCAAATATATGTAACTCACATTAACCGTATCAAAGAAACTCTATTTCTCAAAAATTTTTGTTCTCATTTTGCTTTGTAATAGTTTGAATATTCATTTACTGGTGTTTTAGCCGTGTTAAGATATTTGTATGAGTGTCAGTCATAAATGAAAGGTTTATTCTTTGAAATACAATGTGCATCACATTTTGAGTCAAAAACTAATTCAGCTGTTCACCTTTACTTATGTTAATTACCATTACATTTTATTGTGGCTTACAGTAAATTTGCACTGAGAAATAAGATTGTTTCACTTACAACATAAAGAACACAACTTCATTGTTGTTGCTCATGAAGCAGTTTTACATCTGTTTACTCAAACATTAACATTACATGAAATGTTCTGTGTAGAATGTGTTTACTTTTAAAAAACTGCTGTTTGGAATGTGCCAAAATATATTAAGTACTCTCAACACTAGTATCATTTTCTAAAAATTATAACTATTTTAAATTTTTCATATAAGGAGTCAGTTGTTTAAGAAATCATTCTTCATTATATATGTAGTTATATATAAAGCACCAAATGATATCGTATATGTTAATGAACATTTGTCATTTTTCACTTTCCTTTTCATAATATATCAGTCTGCTGTTTAAATTTATACTCAGGAAGCAAGTACTTTCACTCAGGAAGCAAGTGTTTTCATATAACGTTTATGTCTGATAAAGTGCCAATAGTATTGTATAGTTTTTCCTAACAAAAGTAGTATATTTTTTAATATAAAAGCTTAATTAGTATGCTGTTTAACAAGTTAAAATCATTGTGAAATATGAAAGCTGTTTTTGTTAGTTGTACTTTTAGCAGTTTATACTTCAGAAATATTTTAAGAAATATTTTACGTATGGTATTGTCAAAATCTGCACATGTAACTTGTATATACCATATAGATTGATAAGTTCAAAATGATTGTTCTAATAGACATTTTCATATACAACTACATGTACCAAAGCTTTTCTTTTTCTTGCCTCAAATCAAAACTAGACATTTACTCTAAATCACGAGAATTATCTGAAATTATTTCAGCTGTATCCTCTCCACATGAATAATGTATGATTAAAAGAATTAATCGCAAAATTTTGTTTTGTAGTTGTTAATAAGAAAGTCGCGATAACGAACTAGTAACCTCTACTGCCATAACGCAATGCGTCAGTTTTGATATCCTTACTTATAAAAAATTCTACTTCATTTTCACATTGAACACAATGAACAAAAGTATACAGAAAACATTTGTCATTCTTTTGCTACAAATTTATTTATTCAAGCTCTAAAACCCAATTCCACTAAAATTACGTAAATGAATTAAAGCTTTTATATAAAACACACTGAAACACGCTCAAATGAAGGGAACGGGAAGGGGGGTCCTTTATACAGGCGTCTATACCCGACCTTGCAGAATACTTCATGTAGGAACTACATCAGGCATTGATATCAATGAATTTACTAATTAATTAAAATATTTTTTCTGCATTGACAGTAATATGACATTCTATATATGCCAAGGAACTATTTAAATCTGAAAATTATCTTTAGTAAGTAATTAGGATTACAAGTAGGAAAAAGAAAATACAATATTTCGTTTAAATAATATTAGTACTTATTAAGTACCCCTAGACAAAAGTTAGTTTTTGCTGAAGATATTCAGATATTCCGGTTGTGAAATAATTCATCCGTCAAAGTTTTTAAAGTCATGAGACACAAAAAGCAGAAACATTTCGGTAGATTCCGTAAGCAAATCTAACAGCCAATTGCAAGCGGGCCGGGAAAAAATTTTACGTGAGTAAAAGAAAACAAACGACTACGCGTTAGCCGCGAATGTTTTTTTTTTTCTTTTTTTTCGTCGCGACTTTCGATATCCTCCTTTTTATTGGGTGGGTGGGGGGCTGTTGAGGTCTTTTGAGGACTTTTAGGCTAAGACCCCTAACGATAACATTACTCGGTGTTAGACCCAGCAGTGCAGCAAAAAGTTTGAAAACAATGCTGATCGCAAATCGGTAAAAACATTTGGCCGGAAAACGTAACGCCACACTGACGCTCTAGCCTTTTTTAGTTTTATAAATTTGAAATTTTCCTTCTCCTATCATACATACAGTCCATACAGTAGGGTGTCTGTTTACCGCTTCTCTTTGTGTAGTTATTCCTCTTTAATACCTTTGTATAATTTGAAAAAGAAATACACAGGAAGGATTTCTTTTATTTTCATGTACTGTTGTCTTGTGTCAAAATTAAATATTTCAATAATCCCGGACATCTTTTGTTTACGGGGTACCCCTACTCCGGAAACGGACGCCTGGATACGGACGCATAATCTAAAACATATGGGGAGAACCCCGGATTAAATTTCTTGTGTGCATAAAAATAGAATCCTCCAACCACTCACTCAGTATACAGCTGTTAAGATGGCGTCGAAACGATTCCACGGAGTCTTTCAGTTATCATGAGCTATTGCTTTCCCAAAAGCCTGGTGGATAGAGGCTTATTTTTCAACAGACAGAAATGCGTGGGTCCATCATGATTCGGAAAATAAGATGTTACATTGGTGAGTGGCCTGTTTGTGACCCTCTCTGGTAGAGTTATTCTATATGAGAAACGTTACTCAGAAATTACCAGTATGTCTATCAGGATGAGTTCGAACAATCGGCTTTTTTTTGCCTGTCTAGCGCTCCAATTTACTTTTATATGTATATTCCTTACCGTGCTGGCTGACTCAGTAAAAAAGAACATGTTTTCAGGAGTGCTAGAAACAAAAGTCAGACCAGGTCGTAAGCCTAAGCGTTGCACAGAAATTGCTGCAAAAACAGGCAGGGTCTATATATAGCTCACGTGGCCAAGAAAGCCTTGAGTAAGCGAGAGGCAAAAACTCGAACAGATAAAAAAAACTAGCCATCCTTTTCAGCTATATTCCTGAACTGTAGCACAGCATTAAGATGGAATTTGCTATTATAAATTAGAGTTGCCAAAGTGTAATAGTGCCAAATCTAGGAATATAAAATAATTGACGTAGAACCACGTAATAAGCTTACTAGATAGGGGTTCATTGTAAGCTAAGATCTAATAAACGGTATATAAGATCTTAGATTGTAAGCAACTAAGACACCCGATCTGGCTGTAGGCCCTGTAATCATTTTTCCTATCCCCTTTTAATGCTATGAAATTCTATGTCAATCCCAGTTTCTGCACTCTAAATTTAGAGGGCAATGGAAACTCACCTTTGAAAGGGATATTTACTTAATTTGAGATCAGTTGTCTGTGAAAATAACGTTTGCCATGAAACTAATATGGATATAATTATTGCGATTATATTTTCCGTCTTGGAAAGACGCAATGCGCATACCCATGACTACGTTTTGTCAGATACTTATCTCGTTCCCGTTATGTTTCAGATCTTACACAGACGAACTTAATGTCACTACTCTACAGGAGATGGAAGCCCGCCTTGGTAACGCTGTCAGTGACGCTCCTGCTGCTTCAACTCTTACTCTATTCAAAGAGGTATCACGTCAGGCGCGCCTCTACGCGCGTGTTTTCTCTCAGAAAGACGCCCATGCAAAGTGAAGCATATTTGGTCGATACGAGTGGTTGTAAAATACCGAATTTAGATCCATTTGACAAGTCTATTCGGAAACTGGTGCATAAGGGACATAAATTACATTGCACCGGCCGTTTTGCGCCTTTAACGTATAAAGAAGGCAATAAGATCAAAGTGAATAAGACGGTTGTGGGCAGGCTACAGCTAACAGACGCCGCCGAACTCCAATGTCAGTATCAAGCCATAGTAAGGGTAACCCCTGAAGATAAACATGGATATTCGTTCAGCTCAACGGTGGTTATTTTCAAAGACGAAATCGAAGTGTTTGAGGAGTTTGTTCGAGTAATGTGTTTTCGGGGTCGTAGGACGATTTACATCAACTTTTATGCATTCGTGCAAGCGGAGTCTACAAACACCGAACGACTGTTGTACAAGAAATTTAAGAATCATTTGAAACTTCATAAGATAAAAGAAACTCTCAATGTTATCATGATTGGAGCAGATTCTGTGTCCAGACTAAATCATATCCGACAACTGCCAAAAACAAGGAAATATCTTTTGGAAAAGTTGAATGCTGTTGAAATGTTAGGCTATAACAAAGTAGCTGACAACACGATGGTAAATTTGATCCCTATGTTCACGGGGAAATTCACAGAAGAGCTCCCTTGGAACGAAACGCTTCGGAACGAATCTTTTGATAAATACCCATTTGCCTGGAAAAATTATTCATCGGCGGGGTATAGGACGCTCTACGCAGAAGACGCCCCCGAAATTGCGATATTTAACTATCACAAACTGGGTTTCCACGAGCCACCAGCTGACGCTTACCTCCGGCCGCTTAGTTTGGCAATGGAAGCTGAACCGATGCTTTGGAACAAAATCCATCATTGCGCGGGGGATCGTTTAGAGACAAATATTGTCCTTAATTACGTGTCTGATTTTGTTAAACTTCACAAAAGCAAGCCATTTTTTGCGTTCTCTTTTATAACGCGTCTCACACACGAGGACATTAACGAAGCAAGAGCGGCAGACGATCCACATCTTGAGTTCTTTCAGGGTTTGCACGAGGACGGGACCTTAAATAACACTGTGCTTATCTACTTCAGTGACCATGGGGTGAGATTTGGACGTATAAGATCTCGGTTCGTAGGAAAACTGGAAGAGCGTCTTCCATTTCTATTTATCGTTTACCCGCCATGGCTTTACAAGAAATATCCACAAATGGTAAAGAACTTGCGCACAAATTCCCAAAGACTGACTACACCGTTTGATATTTATGAGACACTCATGGATCTTCTATACTTATCTGACGATATTTCACATAAATCTAGGAGTTGGGGATTGATTAAAGATCGCGGTGTTAACCTTTTCCGAGAAATCCCTGAAAACCGAACTTGTGAGAGTGCCGAGATTTTACCACACTGGTGCACGTGCCAAAAGCAAGTTCCGGTGAGCGTTTCAGATAACAAAGTTGTTCGCGCAGCTGATACTATTGTGCGACACATCAATCATCTGCTGGGTGACAGTTTAAAATCCTGTCATAAATTGTCTCTATTCAAAATACACGATGCCTACAAGTCGGACGCAAATGACAAATTCTTGCACTTTCAGGAAAGCATAAACGATGTAATTGATCGTCGGGTTATCTTTACTGATAGGACTGAGAGTGTCGCGCACTATCTTGTTACTCTTGAAACCAAGCCAGGCAATGGCCTGTTTGAGGTCACTGTCAGACACCATGAGCTCAGTGACAGTTACACGGTGGTAGGGGACATAAGCAGAATTAACCGCTTTGGTGATCAGTCTGCTTGCATTGACATTCCTTTGCTGAAAAAGCTATGTTATTGTAAATAAATAGATATCATTATTTTTATTTTTTATTCATTTTTACTGATGGAAAGCATATTTGTCGTCTGCTGTATGATCATGCCAAATTATGCCAAGATCAGGAATTGTCTCTATCAAATATTATCAATGTATGTAAATTTTCTCAAGTTCAGAAGAGCATTTGTAAAATTCTTTTTTTTTTTTTCACAACCTCGATCGTCGACGGTGTCGTACATTACCTCTTTTTAGAGCAAAACCTGATAACGGACTCTTCGGGATCACAGAACGACCAAGAATTTATGGATTGGATGATCAATCTGCAGACTTTGAAAAACACGCACTGTATATAAACAAGGCAGCAAAGCTGTCAAATGTACAGACAAAAAACAGAAAATAAAGATGCAAAATAGGTCATTTTGTCAATTTTGATGCAATAATAAATAATGCTTATAATAGCACTGTCAAAATGGTCAATAACATGAGCGGACCCAGAGATATTTTCTGACAGTATTCCAAAGTATCTATTTTGATCCATCCTCCATTTTGATNTCGATTTACATCAACTTTTATGCATTCGTGCAAGCGGAGTCTACATACACCGAACGACTGTTGCACAAGAAATTTAAGAATCATTTGAAACGTCATAAGATAAAAGAAACTCTCAATGTTATCATGATTGGAGCAGATTCTGTGTCTAGACTAAATCATATCCGACAACTGCCAAAAACAAGGAAATATCTTTTGGAAAAGTTGAATGCTGTTGAAATGTTAGGCTATAACAAGGTAGCTGACAACACGATGGTAAATTTGATCCCTATGTTCACGGGGAAGTTCACAGAAGAGCTCCCTTGGAACGAAACGCTTCGGAACGAATCTTTTGATAAATACCCATTTGCCTGGAAAAATTATTCATCGGCGGGGTATAGGACGCTCTACGCAGAAGACGCCCCCGAAATTGCGATATTTAACTATCACAAACTGGGTTTCCACGAGCCACCAGCTGACGCTTACCTCCGGCCGCTTAGTTTGGCAATGGAAGCTGAACCGATGCTTTGGAACAAAATCCACCATTGCGCGGGGGATCGCTTAGAGACGAATATTGTCCTTAATTACGTGTCTGATTTTGTAAAACTTCACAAAAGCAAGCCATTTTTTGCGTTCTCTTTTATAACGCGTCTCACACACGAGGACATTAACGAAGCAAGAGCGGCAGACGATCCACATCTGGAGTTCTTTCGGGGTTTGCACGAGGATGGAACCTTAAATAATACTGTGCTTATCTACTTCAGTGATCATGGGGTGAGATTTGGACGTATTAGATCTCGGTTCGTAGGAAAACTAGAAGAGCGTCTTCCATTTCTTTTCATCGTTTACCCGCCATGGCTTTACAAGAAATATCCACAAATGGTGAAGAACTTGCGCACAAATTCCCAAAGACTGACTACACCGTTTGATATCTATGAGACACTCATGGATCTGCTATACTTTTCTGACGATGTTTCACATAAATCTAGGAGTTGGGGATTGATTAAAGATCGCGGTGTGAGCCTTTTCCGAGAAATCCCAGAAAACCGTACTTGTGAAAAGGCTGAGATTTTACCACACTGGTGCACGTGCCAAAAGCAAGTTCCAGTGAGCGTTTCAGGTAACAAAGTTGTTCGCGCGGCTGATACTATTGTGCGACATATCAATCATCTGCTGGGTGACAGTTTGAAATCATGCCATAAATTGTCTCTATTCAAAATACACGATGCCTACAAGTCGGACGCAAATGACAAATTCTTGCACTTTCAGGAAAGTATAAACGATGTAATTGATCGTCGGGTTATCTTTACTGATAGGACTGAGAGTGTCGCGCACTATCTTGTTACTCTTGAAACCAAGCCAGGCAATGGCCTGTTTGAGGTCACTGTCAGACACCACGAGCTCAGCGACAGTTACGCGGTGGTAGGGGACCTAAGCAGAATTAACCGCTTTGGTGATCAGTCTGCTTGCATTGACATTCCTTTGCTGAAAAAGCTATGTTATTGTAAATAAATAGATATCATTATTTTCATTTTTTATTCATTTTCACTGATGGAAAGCATATTTGTCGTCTGCAGTATGATCATGCCAAATTATGCCAATATCAGGAATTGTCTCTATTAAATATTATCAATGTATGTAAATTTTCACAAGTTCAGAAGAGCATTTGTAAAATTTCTTCTTTTTTCACAAGCTCGACCGTCGACGTTGTCGTACATAACCTTTTTTTAGAACAAAACCTGATAATGGACTCTTCGGGATCACCAACGACCAAGAATTTATGGATTGGATGATCAATTTGCCAACTTAAAAAAATACCCCCGGTATATAAAAAAGAATAAATTAAAATCGTTTTTCACATTTTTATTTCGTTAGTAATAAAATGCAAAAATCTGTTTTGTTTATATTGCACCAGGGTAAAGATTTTCAAAAATATTTCTCAAGAGGTGACACAATTGTGTATAATAGATATAAATAAAATTCAAATAGATATTTCACCTGTTTCACAAAGAAATTTCCTTTTCTGGTAACAAAATTTATAAACCAATGAGAAGCTCGTTGCAGTAGAAGCTTCACATTTTTACAAAGGTACAACACAATTTAAACCTATTTTCTCTACTAATTTGTAGAATTAATATCATTATTCAGTTGCACTCTTTGATTTCTTCTTGCTTCGAACTTTACTTTTCTCGTCTTTTGTTACTTCATTTGGCTCCCGATAGCCCATTGGTAGGTTGGAATTTTCTTCCTCCACAACCAGTTTGTCTTGCGTATAAGACTCAACAAAACGGGAATAGTTCTTAAAGACATCGTCTTGTTCATCTAACTTGATCGCATCTCGCAGTCTCCTGTCATATTTACCCTCAATGAATTTCTTCTGAAACTCCAGCTGGGGAAACATATCTGTAACAGAGGATATTACAGGTATTTCAGTTATACACGCAGATTTACGTATATTCAGTTGTATTATCTGTATAATTGACTGCCTATATATCTGAAATATGCCGTTTTTCACTAAACTTGAAATAGCAAAACCAACAGGTTCACATTTGGAAAGAAAAGAACTTCAAAACCAAAATATAAAAGGTACATGCCATTTTTAAATTATCTAATTACATTTGAATTAAAAGGCATCATAAAGTTTGATTCTAAGCATGAGATGTGTCCACCAAATTTGAAAGAAAAAAAGTGATTTGTAGAGTGATTTTCACACGAAAAAAACATACCTGCTTTTTCTTCCAAAGCATTCCTAGCAGCTGCCATCTCAGCCAGCCTGATACTCTGGCCAGTCCCTCTGGCTAACCTCTGACCTCTGAAGTACACAGCCACCTGGTACTGCCTTGTATTAGTAGCACCTGACGCACCTAGGGTCCTACATAAGAAAAAATGCTTTATAGAGAGCATAGGCCTCAGTTGCACTGTGCATGGTGCTAATTGCAACTACCACAATTAAGCTTCATCACTGTTAACAGTCTCAGCCAGCACAGTTACAGATATTAGTATGGGTTAAAAATTGAAACATTTATTTAAATTAATAAAAAATATTTTATTTGCACCTTGAAAGTATCATCATAAAAGAACTTTTTTTTTTGGGGGGGGGGGAGGGGGGTAAAAGCACATAAGGGCCTATTCAGATTCAGACATTGTACCAGCTGGGTAAATCCAACTGTGTGGGGGGATTCTGACTTAAGTGCAATCAATGTAATCAGCTTAATTGTCTGACATGGCTCCTCGACCAGCTAAGGGGTAATTAAGTCTAGTGGACACTGGTACAATGTGTAAATCTGAATTCTGTCTAAAAAGCACATAACCAATCCATACTTGTAGACTGGTCTGTCTGGCTCTCCTTGGTTCAGTTCTCTCAGTGTCAGACAGCACTGCTGTAACTGAGACTTGGGATCATTCCATTCTTGGTTCAAGATGAATTGCTGAAATAACAAATACAATGCAAATGGCATTTAAAAAGAAAATACATAATTTAGTGAAATTCTTGTTGGTACTTGGTTGAAAAGCCTGTGATATAGCAGCAAACAAGACCTGATTAATTATGCTTTATTAAGCAATTATGTTATCTAAAACCATTTTAAACCCAATAAGGAGAATATCCAACCCCAAGCATTTAAAAATCACAACATTTCTTCTTAAAAGTCTGTACACTAGAAAAAGTATAGAAAACCTACCGTGAGCCTTGGGAAGAAGCAGACTTGACAGAAAACTTCACAATGCTGCAAGTCCTTGTCAACATACAGAGCACCAACAAAAGCTGCAAAAATACACAATGACTTGTTGAAATACATCTGACATACCATTTGAATATATTTCTCTCTCAACATCAGAAGAAGTGTATATGAATACCAATTAATAAATATGGATTCCAATTTTTATTGGAATCTTTATCTATCACTGTACTATAATACCCCAGAGCATCTGCCTTTATTCCCCTAAGCTTTGAGGTATGATGGATACAGATACAGAATCCAACACAATACTGATACCTTCCAGAGTGTCAGCCTTCCCCTTAGTTTTGAGCTCTACAGGCTTTCTCCTCCCATCCTCTGGTCCCAAGTTGAGGTATTCCAGCATTCCCAGCTCCTCAGCCACCAGAGCCTGGTTGTGGTTGTTCACCAGAGAACTACGCAGCAGCTGGAATACAATATTATCAGGGATGAGACCAATCCTCACTGAAAAAGTAGGAAAATTGACTGGGGGTCCAGGGTACATGATTCACAAAAATGACCCAAATGACCCTGAAAAAGTTGGAATTTCGACAAAAGTCGGAAAAGTCTCATCAGTGTATTATGTGTAATATAGTCTTAAGAGATTCATGTTTTTTTCATTCAAAAGAGAACTAGGCAAAAGATGTTAAAATACCTGTATGTGCAGAAATTCTCAACTGCTCTTTGCTACAGTCTACCTCTGAGTCAGTGAAATTGTTTGACCACTAGGTGGAGTTGTGATCAAAATGATGAAAATTTCTGCACATACAGGCATTTTGCCTAGTTCTCTTTTGGATGAAAAAAAATTGAATCTCTTAAGACTATGGAATACAATATTATTATAGTAGGCACCTACACTAGGTGCCTCTTCATGAAGAAAGTAAAGGTAACAATTAGCTAAACAGATAAATACCGTAAAGACTCTTATTAATAAATTTTACATCTTCAGTTTTAATGCCATGGGGGTAAAATGTCCTCTATTTGAGAAAGGAACCCCTCACCTCCCTTTTGAAACTGCAGTCTATAGGCCTGTCTACTTACTGACAAGTGTCCTTCATGGTGGCCTGGGAAATGTTTGTACAGATATTCCGCAGCAATGAGATTCATGATGGTGTCTCCTAGCAACTCGAGTCTCTGGTTGTTACCCCTGAAACCAATCATAAAACACATATCATTGGAATCAAGAGAAATAAAAAACAGGTATCTTAAAATGTGAATTAGTCTAAAAAATGTGATTCAATGCCAATAATTTTCATCAACTGCCACTCCAAATATTTTCTACATAATTATCTAATTATTTCAATAAGGAAAAACAACTTGGTCTAGAACCTATGAACTAATTTTGTCTATGATGATTTTAAAACATGGTAAGAGTATTTATTTAAACATAATAATTCATCAGTCCATAGAAATAAGACCTCTTTTTGGTTGTTTTCTTTTTAATGTTTTTCCCATGACAATTTTTCTTTAAACATTAAATATGTTTTCTTAATATTAACATCATACTTTGCAAGTTAATGAAGACTTTTGATTTAAACTAACATTCTCTGCATTGTTACAAAAACACCTTTATCCTTTCTGTGTCATATAAACTTACATGGTAAGGTTGTTGTATGGCACCCTCTTGGTGGTGAAACATTTGGCCAAGATACGAATGTTGCTGAACTTTATCCCCGTGTTCTCTTCAAATTTGGTCAGCTTCTAGAGAAATATCCACAGGAAAGATTTATCACAATTAACTTTATAACCAATTATAATAATAAGTTGTCATTGTACAATGTACGGTGATAATTGTCCGAACCAAATTATTTCTTTGAACTGAATTAAACAGCTTTTTAATAATTAATAAAGAATAATATCTGTCAAATATTGACACAAAATGGCTGACTGATAAATACCTGCAAAACAGGACTTTTTTCAATCCAGTGCCTGTCACCATTTGGCTCATCATCCTGATAAAAAAATGGCAGTCACAATATATCACTATCTTCAGATGGAATTATAAATGGATCTATGATATCCACACAAAGTGCTAACAAGTTCCTTTAATAACTTAGAACTTAGAGAAGGCATAATTTTCTATGGCTTCGAGATGAATTTAGTATCTGTTTCTATTGCACACTTCCTCTGCATATTTGTGAAATCTTTACTGCATTCATAAAAGCAAGTAAATAGCCTGAATACCTGCAGAGTTTAGGTTTAGTACTCATCTTATAGGTGCCTCAGCAGAAAATTGCACTGGGGTCACTACTACATTATCAAAACAATATCCATTAAATGATCTGAATGCTATCTGCATCACTGGTAGGACTTAAGTGAAGCCTCTCACTTCCAGTAAACCCACCTGTAATGGATGTAGAGGAAGATTGGTCCACACTTGATACCTCTTGGGGTCGTCTGCAAATAGTGTGTTGGCTACTATTCTATCAGCTACCTCTATACTGGAGTCAATTAACAGAGCACCTGGAATAAAGAAATGAAAGATTTTCTGACAATCATGTATGGATCTGTTATGTCCAATGCTGAAATGATCTCACCTTCCTAGGGAGTACCAACCCAAGCAGAGGCATGTGGTCCTCATGTTTGTTAAATGAACATCCGTTTCATACAGTGTAAATATGAATTTTCTTTCATAGCAACATATTTTGGAGGGATGAGACTGCCATTGAGTGAAAAAGTCAGAAAATATGGCCTGGGTCCAGGGGGCTGCCTAGGCCAATAATTTTTGGCTCCTAAAAAGTAGGAAATCTGCCAAGAGTCAGAACAATCTCATCCCTAATTGTGATAACTTCTTTTCAAAGTTTACATTGCATTCAAAGGCCTCATTCTGCTAGCATGCACACTCACAGATCTTACCTAACAGAGCCTCAAAGCAGTTAGCCATGGCGTGTTTCATGGCCGAGTCTCTACACAGATCAGGACCATGAGCATACAACATGAACTTGTGCAGCTGGATCTTCTGTTAGCAAAAGAAGAAAAAAAACTGTAATATGTAATATCAGTCAGAAAACCTCAGTTAGTTTACATACAGAAATAACTCAATAGTAACCCTGATAAAAAAATAAAATAAATCTTGTATTTTTCAATCCTTTCCATTTTGTGTCAAGCAACTGTGACAAACAGTTAAAAACTGGAGAAAAAAAAAATAAATAAAACTGAAACAACAGCAGAAATGGTTTGGACTAAGTGTACAGTACCTTGGCTAGTACAGACAGGTGCTGGTTCTGTACCAGGGCTGCCCTATATGTTGCCAAACCTCCCTCCTCCAGCTCAGGAAACATGTAGAATAAATGGACACTGGAAATACATACCACATCTGCAACCACTGAAGTGTTAATGTACACATGCACGTGTGCACGCACAGGCACACATTCACAGTCATTGTGATATTGATGGATTCCCTCACATATGTAACATTAAAAAATGAAATAAAACACAATGACTCTGATAAAAAAACTAAAGAATGTGTGAACAATTCAGCAGAAATGATGAAAGATTCTGACCTCAGGTCTAAAGTTAAAAACAAGGCAGCAAAGCTGTCAAATGTACAGACAAAAAACAGATAATAAAGATGCAAAATAGGTCATTTTGTTAATTTTGATGCAATAATAAATAATGCTTATAATAACACAGTCAGTTAACACTGATTTTTAATCATGCTCAA